ATTCGAAGCCACGGGAGGGAGAGAGATAAGTGAAATCCACACCGATTCTGCCTGCCTACCCTCGCCTAGCCAGATATATCGGCCTCTCTGTATACCGGTTCCCTAATAACACCGATTCAACCGGCGCGATCACTCTTCCTTCCTCTCTCTCTCTCTCTCTCTCCACCCTCGTGTCAGCGTACGTTAGCCTCTCGCGTAATTTTTCTCCATCCAGCTTCCGTCTCCCTTGCTCTCGACAGATTTTTTTCGCATTCCCCCTCCTCGCCTCCACCTCTCATCCATTTTGGTTTGCCCCGACGGTTCGAGCTATCCGCCTTCGTCGTCCTCCCATTGTTGCATCGCTCCGACCAGCTCCAAGGGAAACAATGTCTAATTTCAGTTAATGCGGCTATAATGGCCATCGTCGTCGTTGCATCGGCATGCCGCGCAGCATGGCGATTCGAAGCCACGGGAGGGAGAGAGATAAGTGAAATCCACACCGATTCTGCCTGCCTACCCTCGCCTAGCCAGATATATCGGCCTCTCTGTATACCGGTTCCCTAATAACACCGATTCAACCGGCGCGATCAATTATTTCTTCCGCGTTTAATCGATTCCTCCGTTCGATTCTTCCGCTCTTCCCGTCCAGTCTCAGATGAGAAAAATATCGAGAGAAAAGCAACGAACGAACTACGCTTACTACTACGAAGCGTGCGCCTCATCTAATTTTTCGAAAGAGGGATTATTTTTCGAGGCGTGGAAAGGAAGGGATATAGGATTTTTTTTTTTTTTAAAAAACTTATCCTCGAGCTATGAAAATTTTCGTTTAAAGGAAGGAGGGAAGGATTTTTCATAGTATTTTTTTCCCTCGAATTCGCGGCGCAACTGGAATGGAAATAAAGTATCCTCCTCCCCTTCCCCTCGCAATTAAGGGTTAATTAAATTGAGCGGCTTCCTAGATTTCTGTAATCATCGCGGACAGTATCTGCGGGGTAATCTTGAGCGCATCCTGTCTGCCTCGGGGGCCCCACGGAAGGAAGGGGCCCCCGAGGTAAGGTCATGCACCCCGCTGACCTCGGACCACCGACTCGCCCCAGCCGCCCCCCCCCCCTCTTCTAGGCCCCTACCTCGTCCCGCGGCTCTCCTCCTCCTCTCCTCTCCTCTTCTCTGAGCCGAGCAACGCTCGGCTCGCTGCCTCGAAACAGCGAGGCCTCCGCGATGCCTTCTTCTTCTTCTTCTTCTTCTTCTTCTTCTTCTTCTTGCCACGCTACCCCTCCTCCTCCTCCTCCTTTCTTTTATTCTCTCGGCCAGGAATAATTTCGCCCTCGAAACGCGGAAACGAAGGAGGGAGGGAGGGAGAGAGGGAGGGGGAAACGGATGTCGAAACGATTTGGGATTTTGGAATTGAAATTCCAAGAGGGAAACTTTTGCAAAATTTGCTCGAATAAGAGTTACTTGATATAGAGTTTGTTGCACCTCAGACAAGTGGCGGAGAAGAAAGAGATTTTAATTCCACGAGATTGCGTAATGAAATTTTGAATGTGGAAAGGGAAAGAACTCGTTCGGACTGGAAATTTCAAAATTTGTAATGGCCGATACTTGTTGAAACTTGTTGTACTCGGTGAAATTTTGAATCACTTCGTTCCCTTTCTCTAAATTGTTTCATCTCAAGTAAAACTATATTGATATTGATTTTGATAATTGAACGTTACGTGTCGTTTTGCATCCACGTCACATCCATCCGATGATCGAAACGATTCATTATTCGTGTAACAGAATCTTGAGTTACCTAACCTAACCTAACCTAACCTAACCTAACCTAACTTGAAGGAAAGAAAGAATTTCCTTCGAATTGCTCGAGAGGGAGGTGGAAGGATTTATGAACTCGAAGGTGGTCGATAAGCCACCCCTTCCTTCGAGCCTCGGAGGAATCCGAGGCGGGAAAAGAAGGAAAGAGGGAGAGGAAGAAGGAGGAGGGAAGAGGCGCGTTTCCGGCGAATTGTTATCAAAAAGCGGAGGCATCATTGCGGATAATGAGCGGACGTTGCTGCGACAGGGTCGCGGCGTGGGAACAAGGAACCAACGCGTCCTCTTTTTCCCTTCGTTTTCTCTTTCGCCTCGGCCGCACGATTTCGCGCAACTACGAAAAATATATGGAACGTTGTCACGTTGACAAGGAAGAGTGAAGCGGAGGAGAAAAGGATCGAGCAATTCAAATCGCTTTCAGGATCGTTGCACGATTGATTCCCGGTTATTGTGCATAATCCAAGGATCGGCACAAGTTTTGCACGGATCCGTTTTGCCTCGTGTCGACGACCGTCTCGCTCTCTTACGTCTCGAACAAGGTCAGATGGTATCTGGTGGTGGCGGGAGAGGGGTCGAGAGGAGTACTACTCGGTCGAACACGCGGTTCCGCGGTCTTATGATCGAGATCTCTCTCTCTCTCTCTCTCTCTCCCGAATTTCTCCTCCGTTCGATGGGATGAGATTGGAGGGGGGAGGGGGCGAAAGCCACCTGGGCCTCGCCCGGCGCAAGGTCGATCGGGTGATGTTATCGCGCGGAACGAGTTCGAGGGGGGGAGGGGGAGGGGGTGGATCCACGGGAAAGGGAGGCGTGGGAAAATCCCGTTTTCTCCGCGATTTTTCGTATTTTTCGTATTATCCCCCGATCGAGGTCGATGGATGGATAGATGGATGGATGGATGGATGGAGATTTTGGAGGATGAAAAAGGTGGAGTCGAAGGCAGGTCTTTGTCGAGTCATCATTGTCGCGCTTGATTCGCGCGTAATTTTTGACTAGGGTTAGTTGGGGAGGGGTGGAGGAAGATGGAAGTCGCGGTCGAAGATTTCGACGAAAAGGGGGGGGAGGAGGGCGGGGAGAGGTTGATTGATTTTTGAGGAAGATGAACGGGGATGAACGGAGAATGAGCATTCGAAAATTCGAAATACTCGAAATTTTGACGATTTTAAAGAATTTTGGTTGATTTTTGAAGGAGACGACAAAGGATTCGATGATGGGGGAGGAAGGAAAATTCGAAATGTTCGAAATTTTGATGATTTGATTTCGAAGAAGAGGAGGAACTCGATAATGGAGAAGGAATGAATATTCGAAAATTCGAAATATTCGAAATTTTGATGATTCGATTTCGAAGAAGTGGAGGAACTCGATAATAGAGAAGGAAGGAAAATTCGAAATGTTCGAAATTTTGATGATTTGATTTCGAAGAAGAGGAGGAACTCGATAATGGAGAAGGAAGGAAAATTCGAAATATTCGAAATTTTGACGATTTTAAAGAATTTTGAAGAATGTTTTGGCGAGGGGTTGTTTTTTGAAGAAGACGAAGAATTCGATGGGAGAATGGAGAAGGAAATGTTCGAGAATTCGAAATATTCGAAATTTCGTCGATTTGATTTCGAAGAAGACGAGGAATTCGACAGGGAAATGGAAGGGGCTCTCCTTGATTTGATTTCAAAGAGGACGAGGAGAAGGAGCGTTCGAAAATACGAAATATTCAAAATTTCGGCGATTTTAAAGAATTTTAAAGAATTTTAGAAAATTTCGAAGAATGATATTGAAGAAGATGAGGAATTCGATAGGGAAATGGAAGGAAATTTTGAAGAGGATGGGAAAATGAAGAATGAGCATTCGAAAATTCGAAATATTCGAAATTTTGACGATTTTAAAGAATTTTGAAGAATTTTGTTTCGGCGAGGGGTTGTTTTTTTTTTTTAGGAAAACGAAGGATTCGATGATGGAGAAGAAAGGAAAATTCGAAAATTCGAAATATTCGAAATTTTGACGATTTTAAAGAATTTTAAAGAAATGGGAGGAAATTTCGAAAAAGAAATGGAAAAATGGAGAATGAACATTCGAAAATTCGAAATATTCGAAATTTTGATGATTTTAAAGAATTTTGAAAAATAAATTTTGGCGAAGGGTTGATTTTTGAAGGAGACGAAAATTCAAAAAAAATCCGAAATTTCGTCTGATTTGATTCGAAAGAAGACGTGAGAAATTCGATAGGAAAATGAAAGGAGCTTAAGATTTTAATCGTTTAAAATTTCGACGATGGATGGAAATAGAGCATTCGAAAATTCAAAATATTTCTACGATTTTAAAGAAGACGAGGGATTCAGGAACAGAAAAATGGAAGGAAAAATTGTATAATCGAGGAATCCCAAAGAAAGCTTTCCCAATCGTTAAAAATTTCTAATTCTAGAAGAACACGAGGAGAAACGAAAGAATCTTTCCTCGTCGATTTGATTTTAAACCGAACGAAGAATTCGACGAGGAAAACGTGAAATCGTAAAAATATCCTCGTTCAAAATTTCCACGAATTCGATCCATTTCCAAAAAAAAAAAAAAATTCGACGACCATTCTTCTTCTTAATCGCTCGAAAAATTTCCACTAATTCTTAATAATCTTCTTCGAAACAATAAGAAAGAAATGAATCAAGCAGAAACGAAAATTTCGTCCACTTTCAAACAACAAAATTTCCACCATCTCTCCCTCCTCCTCCTCCTCCTCCTCCTCCTCCTCCTAGATCCACGACCAATCATAATCACCAATCCGAGGGACGAGGGAAAAATTCGTTTCGACCTTTCGAAAAGGTCGCGCGAAACCGGAGGAGGAGGGGTGGGGAGGGGCGCATCATCGATGGATCATCGACACCGCCGAGACTGGCCGAAAGCGGCGAGAGAAGGAGGGGGCGAGGCGAGGCGAGGAGCGCGCGGTATATAAATAAGCGCACTTGTCCCGCTTGTTCGAGTTCCAAGGATGCTCTCGAGAACTCCTCGAAACGATCCGCCGCTTTCGGACCGGCAAATAAATAGAAACCGTTGATTTCCGCCTCGTTGAACTTTGATCCGACCATTGGCGCGGTCCAACGCCCACCCCCTCCCCTTTCCCTCCCCCTCCCCCTCTCCTTTCCCTCGCCTCGAAGGCGAAAATTCCACCGATCCCCCCCCCTCCCCCCTCCCCTTTGAATCAGGGGGTGAAATCGTTTCAACGAGGTACGTACCTTCCCGTCGCATGCCCATCTTCAGGCACTTTTTCAATCGACAAAACTGGCACTGATTCCTATGGTGTTGGTCGATGGGACAGTTCCTATTCCCCCGACACGAGTAAGTTAGGTTTCTCCTTACGCTTCTCTTGAAGAAGCTTTTGCATCCTAGAAAGAGGCAAAAGTGAAAAATATATTAAAAAAAATACTTCCTCCTCCTCCTCCTCCTCCTCCTCCTCCTCCTCCTTCTTCTTCTCTTCTTTTCTTTCTCGAAGATTCGAATCGGTCGAAGAATCGAATTCGCGGTAGAAACGAACGGGATAAGGATTGGACGAGGAGAAGAGTCGAGAACTTTCGTTCGTTTATCCCGATAGTGGTGCAAGTCCATTTCTTTCTCGAGGAGAAATACAGATCGATAAATTTGTTTCGGGCGAGAACCGAATGAAATGGACTTACACCGTTTACGAAAAATTGTATTCGATATGTTTAAAATTTTGTATCTTTGCAGCATTGATCCAATTCCGTTTGTTAAATAATAATAACGAGGGATTATTTTGAACGTTGCGCACGTTCCTATTTTATTATTTTGTATTTTTCGTATGCGACAGATCTGGCAACGTTGCGTAGGAAACAACGATTCTTTCAAATTTTAGCGTAGCTAAAATAAATCCAACTTGTCTCGAACCGCTACGAAATTTATTTTAAATCGAACGAATTCGATCAATAACACTCACATTAAAATCGCGTTGAAAAAATTTTAAATAACACTCGGAGGCGTGGCGAGCTGTGTAACGGAAAATGGGAGGAAAAAGAGAAAGAGGGGGCGGGCGGGTTGGAAAGGAGAAGCGATAAAGACGAGAGTTAATAACAACGGGAGTATCGCCCGTGTTGTTCGCAGGAATATTCGTCGAGTCGTTGATCGAATCACCACTACCACCACCACCCACCCTTTAACCTGTTTAACGCTCTCCTCCTCCACCTGTCTATCTGTCACGCGCCATCTCGTTAAATCGAATCATACACACGTTCGTGTTCTCCCCTTCCTTGTTCAAACACCTTTTCTTTCTCATCACCTTCTCCCGTCGTCGAACACGCTTCCAAGGAAAAGTAAAATTAACGACACGCGTTGGATATACAGAATCTGGAAAAACGAATGAGAATGCGTTGAACATTTGGATAGGAAAAATCGTGAATGGAGGAATTATTTTTCGAGAAAGGGGCAGAATCCGCCGCGGTTGCACCGCGATCCAACGAATATATACGTGGTACATACAAGCACTACTTGGAAGCAATCAGGAGGCAATTCATATCGTGACAACAAAGCGGTCTCTGTATGAAAACGGTTTCGATAAAGAGTGCCTATCCCTTGCCCCCCTCGCGATTCTCATCGGCGATCGCCAACTTTCGATCGCGCCATTTCCGTCTATCTGCATTGGTCGATCGAGTACGACAGACGTTTTCAAGAAAACTCTTTCAATCAATGATCGAGACGTTGGAAAATGGAAATTGTTGTGCGTTGTTAACGACAACGTTGGTCGATCGTCGATATAAAATAAAATTTTTCATCGTTTTTCGATATTTGAAAGAAAGATCGTTGATAAAAATTTTCACTCTCGTTTGCGAAAAGGATGTGGACGTGCGCGTAACGATATTTGACGTGACGCGAAAGAAAGACGCGGATCGTTGATAAAAATTTTCGTATCTTTCTTTTTACATTTGACTGACACAACATGCGAGAAAGATCGAAACGAATCTCCTAATATTCGATGATATTCGTCCAAAAAAATTCGTCCGTTGCAAGAAAGAATATTATATTTCGAATATGAAAGAAAAAAAATTTAGTTTAGACTCGACCGTGACCCGTTACGCCCGAAACGGTTCCACGAGATCGATAACGTATCACGATTCCCGGCCGGTGGTTTTCAAGAAGCGACGCTTCGCGGCGGCCGGTAATCGCGTTGGCGCGAGAATAAATGATCCGCGATATATTTCTGGCCGAGGCAGAAGGCCAGTTTGGCCGCGAGAGTTGAAACAGTTAGAAGGCGGAATCGCGATCGAAGATTTATCAGCGTGTATTAACGAGAAAATTAATTAGAGGGGGGAAGGGGCATTCACGCGTCCATTCACAGAACCGGTTCCCCGCAATTTCATTTCTGCCTACCCACGTTTAAAAAGGTGGACGACGACGAGGAAAAGCGACAGGGTCGTTCGCATCGACACGATCCAAGAAAAGAAAGATACGGGGATTTGAATTCGTTGTTATCGTATCATTTTCGGAAATTTTGGTCTAAAGACACAGTTCGAAACCGCGTGATCGAAGAGAAGGAAAGAAAGAATCATCAATCAGCGTAACGAATAATCGAATTGTACGAATTCGAATCCCCTATTTTCTTTCTTATGATTTCGATGAGCTCAACGTTCTTATCAGCGAGCGAGAGATACTTATTGGAAAAAAAGAAAAAAAAAATTGTCGATTAGATTATTCGACGTTTTGCATTGACGATAAATCGAGAAACTGGATTTTCCGATGCTGCGCGGCGTAACGTGGAATTAAACATATTTGCCGTTGATTTAATCTCTACGAATCTGAAACTACCATCTCGATTCCACCTTATATAGCCTTCCTTATAAGGCACGATAAACGAATAAACGAACGCGAATCCACGGGAAAAATTGCTTGATATCGAAATCGTGAGCGAACACGCATCGAGAGAGGTTAAAGCGCGAATCGAAAGATCGACATGGCCGACTGGCGAGCGGGTCACGTGACCGACGCATGGTCAACGTATAAACGGAGAGATCCGCGTCCGACGTAACGATTCGATTCTCGATGATCTCGCTGACCGATCCGTCCGTTGCAAACGTGTCCATCACCACCACCACCACCACCACCACCACCATCACTCTCGTAATCGTTGTTCCGTTGCGAAAGAGGTTGTCGCGAGGGTCGGCGTAACTACAAATTGCATCGTTACACGCAAATTACGCGATTACGGTGCGCGAGACAACCACCGCGAGCGTGGCGCATGCGCGCCCGTCGCGAGGTAGCGCGCGCGAGACAGAAAATGGTGGACGGGCGCGGAAAGGGGTGGTAGCTGTGCGCGAAAAGGAGAGCGGCAAAGGAACGAGGGGGAGAAAGAGGGAGAGAAGAAGAAGCGGCTGAAACAACTACTGTTTATACTTTCAGATTGTACCGCAGCGTACGTACGCGGCCCTTCGAATAGATAGATAAAAAGAGAGAGAGAGAGTTCAAATTGCTCGCGTCATTGAATTTTCATTGCTCGCTGCCATTTCGCCGCGCAGTAAATGCTCGAATACAATGCTCCAAACTATCGAATCGCCGATCTATCCTTCCCATCGATCGCGCGAAAATGGCGCCCCTTCCCCCCCCCTCTCCTTCCAATAATAACGTTTTATTTACGGCGTACTCTTACCAATTCCAATTCCAATACCTCCGTCCGATTTTTCTTTTTTCGCGCAAAAATTTACTCTCGAAGGATTCGATCCCGAGGGGAAGATCGGGGGTCAGTAACCGGTCGGTTTCGAGTCGGCCGCGTAAAATTAACGACATTGTTATAATTAATTAGCCTTTGGCTAGCCGCGGGCTTCGTTAGCGAGGGATAATTGGTCACAGAGGATGCGTTCGGGATGCGTTCGTCGCGGTTCGTAATTCTACGTATCTCTCCGAGCGCGTAAAGTCCACGCGCCTCCGCGCGTTTACCGGTGCAGAGGCCGAGAGTGTTCAGGCTCGCGTAACGTTCGCGCAACTTCCTCGCTCGTCCATCCAACTCCGTCGACCGTGGCCAAAAAAAGGAAACAAAAAAAAAAAAAAAAATAAATAAAATAAAATAAAATAAATAAAAGGAATAAAAATAGTTCCTCCTCTCATCGATACCTTCGATTTTTTCGAGACTTCAACGAGTTCGAGAGAAGGCATAATAATAATAATAATAATAATAATAATAATAATAATAATAATAGTAGGTAGAGAGAGAGAGGAGGGGAAGGAGGGAGGGAGGGAGGGAGGAGAGGAGGTAACGAAGACAACGCGCGCTCGTAGAATGAGATT